GCTGTTGGGTCCTCCAAACTTGAGCAAGGATTGCTTTGATTTTGATGCGTACTCCTTGCATCAATCAACATGCTGCCAGAGGGACTTCGTTCCTTGCGAGCTCTGGCCGTTCAAGGTCTTCTTACAATGGTTGCATGTGGCCTTTGTTTCCTCACCTGAGAATATCAAGATGCAAATCTTAATCAGCCTTAGATCTTTAAATATTTCACCAAGAAGAAATTGAGATCATAAATAATTAACTTACCAGTGCCGCTTTTTGTGAAATGGTTCCAGACAGTGCTACGTTGCTGGCGTTCAGTACTTGAGGTTGCTGAATCTGTCAAATTATTTTTATCAACATTCTGAGATGCTGCTACCGTAGTCTGACTGGCTGAGATTTCTGGCTGACTCGGATTCTTAGTGGCTTCAATCTGATCGGTGTTGATGTGTTCAATTGCAACTTCTGGTTCGTCTGTGCTTGAGTTTGCAGATGAGGTCTCATCAGAATCTGGGACATTTTTTGGCCGTTTGCACTTGGAATTTGACCTTGTGTGGGCCATAGTCGATACTCGTAGTTGTGGTTGGTGCAAGAAAAGGGGGGGGGGGGGTGGGTGTAAGGAATTTGGTCAGGAGGACAGGTGTCTCTTATCCGGACTCTGCCAGCCCTAACCTCTGGTCCCCCAATACCTAGTCGGGTTTTCGGGTCTACCCGAGGCTGACCCGAAGTCTGCAGCACCTGCCCAAACCCGACCTGAGAAGAAGCCGGGTCAGTCCGGGTTGGGTCAAAATTTCCCAAAATCCTGCCCAAACCCGCCTCACAACCCCTCGGGTCTCGGGTCGGCCCCGGGTCGACCCGGCCCCACTTGCCACCTGAATTATATGTACAATACTCAAGGGGATTTCACAGTTAATTATAGAATTATTAAATATAAATTATGAATTAAGATTAAATGTAAATAAATATTTATTTATTTATTATTTTAACAACAATGTATAATATTTTCCTGTATTCAATTAGTTATTATTATTTGCAGTTACTAGGTACATTTCACATACTGTGAAAGGTGCTCTGTGGCTGACACCTCTTGACCACTCTTGCAAGTTCAGAACATCACCAAAGAGGAAGTCGAATTGGGCAAGTTAGTTGCTGACAATCGTGGTTATTGTCTCATATGGAAAGTTTTGGAACAAGATTGAATTCATCCCTCTGACCTGTTGGCTCACTTTCATGTTTTTCTATCTTAAATAAATTGGTAACAACAGCCTACCACACCTGAGCACTAATGAGTATCTTCAACTGTTGTTTTGTTTGAAAAAAAAACAGGGGATCAACTCGACCAGCTACAGCGTAAGAACCCTCAGGACAAGCTATAGCCAACTACGCCACACAACAACTTACAGCCTCCCAATTTTGTTTGTTATTTGCAGCCCCCCCCCCCTATTTGTTTGTGATCCAACCCAATTTTGATAAACAAACAAACATGTTTTCTTTTGAATAGTTCAAAGGTCCATTTGATAGGACACATAAGATAAACAGATCAATCACGCTTGAGGAAACAATTACAAATAACGTGAGCTCAAGTAATGTTGATCTTCAAATGAAATGCCTGCTGATTATACAATCTATGATAGGATCCTAGTGAATCGCCTCATCCAATTAATCAGTAGAATTGGTTCAAGTAATGTACTTCACTACACCTCCTGAGCTTTATAAAGGTGATTCAACATTAATAAGTCTCTCTTTTGGCCTGTCCATCTAGCACAATAACAAGGAATCCCAACATGCAACCCATCCCTCCTTCCCCACCTGATGGAGAGAGTTTCCCTGTGCCCGATGTAAAGCTCAAAAGTGTTTGTGAAAACCTTTTGCTGAGTGTGGAAAGGGATGAATGAGGATACCTCTGCCTTTCCTGGATCACTAGACACTAGACAAGCCCACCAATCTCAGATTGGAAGGTTTAATAAAGTGATAGTGGAGTGTATCAAAAGATAACTGTGGCTTAACAGGTGGACAAAGGGTTTAACCCAGTTTTATAAGGGTCTAAAAGGTTGATTTGAGAGTAAGAGAGTGAGTCTAGCTGATATTTCAATGGTAAGGGGATGGTATGTAATGGTATGTAAGGGTTTGTAAGGGTAGGGGGTATGAAATAGGTGGATACTAAACTGAGGGGAAAACAACTGAGAGGAGAGCCTCTTAAATACACAAAGGTGAGGGATTTTAGCTTCAGGGGAACAAGAGAATGAGAGATTTTAGCTGGCCAGAGCTTTACAATGAGGGGATTTAGCTAGTCAGAACATGTACATGAGGTATTTTGGCTGGTTGAGCCACCTACATGATGTCATAAGAGTTATTTTAGTTTGAACTAGAAGTCTACATGAGGGTTTTATGCTGGTGTAGCATTTTACATGAGGTGATGTACTAGTCTGCAAGCTAAGGTGAGGTGATGAGTATTACATGAGTGGTGTGAGATAGTCTGACAGCTGCAAGGAAGATTAACAAATGACATGACAACCTGCATGATGTCACTTGTAAATCCAGAGTGGTACCAGACCAACACTGCATGTGTCAACTGTCAGAAGATAGTGGAGTGGTGTGTATACATGTACTATAATGGTGTGAGAGTGTATGTAGTTGTCCTGCAATGTACATATGTATAGTGTGAGTTATGTAATTTGTTGGTGTTGTTGAGTGTTGAAGTGTTGCCATGGTGGTGAGTTGTGTAATTGAGTGTGGTGATGGTCCAGAGAGTGTAGCTTCCAATCCAGTTGAGTTCCAGTGACGCCTCCAGTGGTGACCAAGGGTGAAATTGACCATAGAATCCAGTTCTTGAGCCATATTGGGTGATTTTTGAGTGTATATATGAGAAAAAAGGTGTAAAAAGTATGTAATTTGTAATAAAAGAAAAAACTGTAAAATTTTTAAATGGGCCAGATGGCTACCCTTAAGGTATACCACACCGAAAAGAAATGGACGTCAGAAATTTTTCCCCTCAGTATATACTACCTTGCTCTTTCCTCTAACTTTTTTCCTCTGCTTCATCGGAGGCTATTCTTCAAAATGGCTGCTCTTGATTACTTCCATTCGTCCCTCATATGGGATTATGATCCTGGGTGTCAGCCTTAGGGCCAGCCAAGCTGGCCAAAAGACTGCTTAAGTCCTCCTTTTCAGCTATGTTCCTACTGTAACCTTTTTATCTCATGATTTTATTACATTCTGATTTCAGAAATGAATTCCTCATGAAATTTCAACCCTAGTCACCCCTACACACTTTTACACTACTCTTCTCCTTCATAGACTTTGTAATATTTCACCGTACCTTGTGAAATATTAACCAAGTTAGAATTCCAACTCTCTACCACATGTACATGTTGTGATTATGTAATCCAACTCTGAAAATTCTCTCAGTAGACACTGAGTTCGCATCTCCAGGATCTTCAAGCTTCAGACCCACCCAGAACCAACTCAGACCAGAAATCACCAACCTCAACTTGGATACTTCACCGCCGCATCATCGCCGTGTTATCGTTTGGAGTCCCTTAACTATTGGAATCTTCCCACTCATAGTGTCAGGATCACCAATAAGTAAGTCACTCCACAAGTTCAGCTTGCATCTTTCTGCTAAGTTCCTTCTCTGTCTCTCTGAATGATCACATCATTCTGTTTCTACTAAACCTCAGCCTTAATCATCATCAAATCAAATCAAGTCATCATTATTCTCAGTTTGGTGGTATAACTGAAAACCACATAGGTTTCCCTTTAAAGAACCTTGATCATAGATCTAAAAAATTGAGGTTGGATTGACATATATTCAATACCAAGTGCCCTATTCAGTTTCAGTTGATAGGAGGCGTAGATTAATTCCGCTTAATAACAGCCATCCTTAAAGGAAAGTAAGACTGCAGTAAACCTTGATTATCAAACAAATAAACAATAAAAGATATTATTCATTTCTTTTCTCTTTCTTTCTCTTTCCTTTTCTCTCCTTCTAGTTGTATTTCCTTATCCCCTTGAAATACATCTAGAATTGCCCCCCAATCCTTGTGTCCTGCTGTCACTTTTGAGACCCAGGCTCACAATTGGGGGCCTCATCGGGAAATTTATATTCCATAGACCTCTCATAATCATACTCTCAACTTTAATCATCATTTATCAGGCCTCTTAAAATTATAATCAAGAAAAAGAACTATTACAAGAATTTCTTTTCTTCTTTTCAAAAGACTTTAAAAAAAAAAAAAAAAAAAAAAAAAACATTATTACATCTCTTTTTCAAAACCCACTCCTCTAATTTCCATCGCAAAGTGCTCTATTTTTTTCCTTTTTTCCATCGTGAAGCGCTTTTCAAAATCTTGACTTTTATCTCCTAGAAAAGGTTTTCCTTTTCTTTCAAAAAAAAAAACTCTTCATTTCCATCGCAAAGCGCTCGCCAAAATCTCCAAATCTCATTGCGGAGCGCTCGCGAAAAATCCCTCCTTTATTGAAGTATTGTTGTTAATCAAACCAACATTATTTGCCTTCCTTGTTTCTTAACCGACCGATCCTAATTCCCTCACTCGCGAAGTGAAGAAAAATAAACGTATCATACCAAATTCTCCACCCAAATCTACTACTCCCAAGTCTTCGGATCTCTCCTCAATCTCATCGGACTCCAAGGCAGATCCAGAGCTCTTGGACAAACAGACTGTAGTTCCTCCAAAAGAAGGGAATCCTATCTCATCGACAGGTTGGACTCCGATAACTACTGCCGATCCCTCTGGAACTAGAAAACTAAAGAAGAGAGTGTTACCAAGCGAATCTGAACATCCTCTTTTTCCAGAGTGGACGCCGAACACGTCTTCTTACCTTTCTAAACAACCGAAGTCCCAAAGAAACGTTGCAAAAAAAAAAAGATTTTTTTAGTTTCCTTTCGAGTTCTGATTTGATCAAGATTATAAACTCATAGGAAACTAACTTAGAATCTGTTTTCCTTTTTTTTCTTTTTGAGAATCATTAATCCTTATCGCGATGGGCCCCCATTTAAGAAATGGGTGTAACCTCTCTGTTGAACAGCAACAGTGTGAACTACAACGCCAAGGGCAATCGCTTCGAGCACAGCAACGGCCACCAGAATCAGCAGCCAGAAACCGGTCTGTTACACTACAGCAAGGAAATGATCCGAGATATCAACTCAGCTCCGCTGCAGCCAAGCGACTTCGAAAGCTTATGGAACAGTCTTCTGTCGCTAGAAGCAACCAACCAGCGATTGCCAGCGGTAGGAGCTTCACCGTTAGAGCAGGGGACCTTGCTCGCCCTCATCAACTCACAAGAGACTTCAGCAGCGTTGGAGACAATGTCCAACCGCTCAACCTTGGTACCGCATCCGATAGATTGCCAATCCTTTGCGGTCAATTTGAATACTGCAACAAACAGGTCAATTCTATCTCTGACCCCTTGTCTGTCCAGTCAGAACCGGCTCCCCTCTCTGATCCTGTTACCAGCCCCCCAGCCATTAACCCAACAAGCTCAATTGCGCACTGTCAGCCCGTCACCAGCTCATCTGCCTTTACCTCACCCGGAGTCAGACATCACTTACCTGGGTTCCGGCCAACAACCTTTGCAAACCCAGCAAAAATTACTGGAACCCCATATGGCTCAAAGCTAGCACCTAAACAACACAGCTCAATTGGTGCAAGGTACCCGTTAGCCTCCACCCCTGTCACTGTCTACTCCAACACCCCTAGCTTCAGATTATTACAATCAAGTCCAAAGGTAAGGAAACCAGAAGGAAGAACAACACCAATAAATTCCCCTCATAGTTTTGATTTAGATGACTTGTCTAATCCTTCTAACAAAGAATTTTTTCTTCAAAATATTAATCAAGATGTGTCTAGAGATGTCCCCTTACTAGTTGAAGATAGATTAAAAGATTTGTTTTCTAATTTTCTCTCTGATTTATCTAGAGCAGTAGAATCTATTCCCAATACACTGCTAGAATCTTGCTTGAATAATTTCAATTCCTCTATGAAATATTCTATTTCTAAGTTAATAACAGAAGAAATTGTTCCTTCTTTGATTGAAAAAGTAATTGACAACCTGAGTGATAAAGTAAACAAAGAGCCAAGCAATCATCACTGTCCAAGCTATGTAGAAGAATTGAAACAACATATTGATAAGAAATTAGAAGACTTCCAAGATATTCTGTTTGTAAGAGATGTAGATTGCCTTTCTAAATTTGATGAAGTCAAGAAAGAGATGAGATCCTTTGAAGAAAGAACCACAGGAAATTTTAAATACATTTCTGATCAAATGAGTGAGCTAAATACCAGTGAGAACAACAGATTTGAGCAACTTAAGAGAAGGCTAGGTGATGTATGCCAAACCACCTATGCAGTAAGTAACAAACTTAACTCTATCATTGAGCCTCAAGAAAGAGATTCCCCTCCGCACTTGAAATTTAACAACCCAATTTTAAATATTCAAGATGAACCTTCTCAAAAACCTTTCCTTAAGGAGAAGGATGTTCCCCAAGAACAGAAATACCCTGCCCAACATGTTACCTTTACCTCTGAAGTGGTCAACAAAAAGGATAATACGTCCGGAAGAAGTAGCCCCAAAACAGAAAACACATTTCCAAACTGGGCTGATGAATTTCCTTTTATTGACCATGGTGAAGTGAATTCTGATGTAAGAAACCAACTCTGGAAAGCTATCCCCAAGACCAGTGAATGGGAAAAATTCTCTGGAGAACTCCCTTACAACCATGAACTGTGGTTGAAAAATATTGATGTTTTTGTACAAGACTATCTGTTGACAGATGACATGGTAGTAAGCAGACTAACTGCTCTGTTCACGGATACGGCTAAGAATTGGTACCTTGGGATTAGAGATCAATGTGGAAAAAAATCTTGGTCTTGGTGGAAACACACCATTAGAAATAAGTTTGGAACACATAACTGGAAATGGAAAATGAGGATGGAATTTGAGAAGGATTATTTCACAGTTGATAACAGAAAAGTTCACAAGTGGTTCAGCACTCAGAGAGAAAGACTTAGAGCTTACCAACCTGAACTTAGTGAATCTCTAGTCTGTGAGAAAGTTTTGAAGCAATGCCCTGGTTCATTAGAGCATGCGGTTAAAAGCAGATGCAATAGAGCCGCGGAAGACATGAACTTTGAATAAATGGTCATAGTTATTGAAGAAGTTCTTGACAGAGCAATGGGACAGTACAAAACTTCGTACAACAGTATCCCCCAGGTCAATAGGAGCTCTTGGAGGAATAGCAACCAGACTAGTAAAGATGAAGTCAGAGAGGATGAACTTGATTCAAAGAGACCTTCAACATCTAATCCACAGGCCATCACAGGAAAGGATGTTTGTCACTTCTGCAAACAACCTGGTCATTTCTCTAAAGAATGCCCTAGAAAGAAGAAGAGAATCAATGATGTAGGCTGCAATTCTTATGATGAAGACAAAGAAAAACTTTACAATAATGAGTTTGACTCCGGCAGCCAATATGACAAAGATGAGGAGAATCCCAATGAAAATCACATGATTCTAGCCAGAGATAATCATAGTACTCCAGATCCCCTAATTGATTTCGACTTTGATTAATGTGCAGTGGAATGTGAAATTACCAAGGATTTTTCTACAGCTGAAATCCAGGCAGAACCTCATCACCCTCAGACTTGGGGAAGATATTTTCAGACGTCTCAAGTAGATGATGCTAGGCTAAAGAAGTGCAAACCAGAAAAATAAAACTACTGATGATATGCAGGAGTCATTCATTATCTTCATTAAGGTTCCATTTTTTGGAAATGAAACCTCTTTGGTGGTAGGGAATGTCAGCCTTAGAGCCAGCCAAGCTGGCCAAAAGACTGCTTAAGTCCTCCTTTTCAGCTATGTTCCTACTGTAACCTTTTTATCTCATGATTTTATTACATTCTGATTTCAGAAATGAATTCCTCATGAAATTTCAACCCTAGTCACCCCTACACACTTTTACACTACTCTTCTCCTTCATAGACTTTGTAATATTTCACCGTACCTTGTGAAATATTAACCAAGTTAGAATTCCAACTCTCTACCACATGTACATGTTGTGATTATGTAATCCAACTCTGAAAATTCTCTCAGTAGACACTGAGTTCGCATCTCCAGGATCTTCAAGCTTCAGACCCACCCAGAACCAACTCAGACCAGAAATCACCAACCTCAACTTGGATACTTCACCGCCGCATCATCGCCGTGTTATCGTTTGGAGTCCCTTAACTATTGGAATCTTCCCACTCATAGTGTCAGGATCACCAATAAGTAAGTCACTCCACAAGTTCAGCTTGCATCTTTCTGCTAAGTTCCTTCTCTGTCTCTCTGAATGATCACATCATTCTGTTTCTACTAAACCTCAGCCTTAATCATCATCAAATCAAATCAAGTCATCATTATTCTCTGTTTGGTGGTATAACTGAAAACCACATAGGTTTCCCTTTAAAGAACCTTGATCATAGATCTAAAAAATTGAGGTTGGATTGACATATATTCAATACCAAGTGCCCTATTCAGTTTCAGTTGATAGGAGGCGTAGATTAATTCCGCTTAATAACAGCCATCCTTAAAGGAAAGTAAGACTGCAGTAAACCTTGATTATCAAACAAATAAACAATAAAAGATATTATTCATTTCTTTTCTCTTTCTTTCTCTTTCCTTTTCTCTCCTTCTAGTTGTATTTCCTTATCCCCTTGAAATACATCTAGAATTGCCCCCCAATCCTTGTGTCCTGCTGTCACTTTTGAGACCCAGGCTCACACTGGGTTTGTATGTCCTTCCTGTGAAGTGTATCAATCTTGTGATTGTAATATGTTTGGATAACTCTTGGCTAATTTCAAAACCCCACTTGATTACTTCCATTCTTCCCACATATGGGATTATGATCCTTGGTTCGTATGTCCTTCCTGTGAAGGGTATCAATCTTATGATTGTAATAGGGGCTTGGAAAAACGACTCCTAAAAATTAGTCGACGACTCCCGTTTTGGTCGGGAGGTCGTCGGACAGGAGTCGTTCTTCCAATTCCCCCAAAAAAAAGGGGAGTCGTCATCCTAATTTCAATGGTGATTTTTTAATTTTTTTTATTAAAAAAATGGGAGTCGCCCGCCTAAAGGGCGGGAGTCGTCGTACCATTTAGCCAAATATTTTTTATTTTTTTTGATTAAAAAAGTTGGGAGTCGTCCGCCTAAAGGGTGGGAGTCGGCCTCCCAAATTTGATCTTTAATTTTTTTGATATTTTTTTTTCCTCGGGAGTTGTCAGGCCAATTACCCGAGACAGAAAGGGAGTCAATGGCCCAATCGTCCACTGGACTTTTTTTTTGTCTCGCAGGAGTCGTTGGAAAATACCTAGGAGTCGGCTGGGGAGAAGAAACAAGGTTTCTTCTCCCACGCAGGAGTCGCCGCTCCACACCCATTGACTGTAGGGAGGAAGATTCAAAATCCAATGACCCACTACTAGTTTTTTTTCTGCCTGTGTCTTTTTTTAGTTTTTATTTTTTTTTCCTCTGTCCTTTTTTACCCTGTGTTTTTTTCTTATATTTCTCATCAATTGAATTCTTTTATCCCTGTTTTTTTCTTACATTTCTCATTGTTTTTTTTGTTTACATTTCTCAACATCTCATCAATTTATTTCAATTATTTCTTGAATTTGTTTTTCTCAATGAATCTAATTTTTAATCATTGATAAAGTGCCTTTGGGGTGGGGCCCCAGTGGCTGAACTTTTTTTTGAGTTTTTAGGGTTGCTAGAGGCCGACAACTCCTGTTTTGAGTTGGACGACTCCCGTTTTTTTAATGCAGAAAAAAGGTTAAAATATTGAATTGGGGCGCCGACTCCCGCCCTTTAGGCGGACGACTCCCAATTTTTTTAATGAAAAAAAATAAAAAATATTTGGCTAAATTGGTACAACGACTCCCGCCCTTTAGGCGGGCGACTCCCATTTTTTTAATAAAAAAAATTAAAAAATCACCATTGAAATTAGGACGACGACTCCCCTTTTTTTTGGGGGAATTGGAAGAACGACTCCCGTCCGACGACCTCCCGACCAAAACGGGAGTCGTCGACTAATTTTTAGGAGTCGTTTTTCCAAGCCCCTTGTAATATGTTTGGATAACTCTTGGCTAATTTCAAAAGCCCCACTTGATTACTTCAGATCTTCCCACATATGGGATTATGATCCTTGGTTTGTATTTCCTTCCTGTGAAGGGTATCAATCCTGTGATCGCAATTTGATTGATTCATTCATTACTTCAAACACACTTGTTGGTAGCTCTAAATGTTCCTCTTATGTCTTGATACTAATCTTATTGAAACTATCTATCTGTACCCTGTTCTATTATTATCAATACAGAGGACAGCAGTTTGTTTGTAGGAATCAAAAGAAGAAAAACCAGAAGAAGCGTAAATTCAAAGCAGATGCTGAGTTGGCCGAGTTCACAACCAACCTCCACCCCAAAACTGCCACCATGAGACGGGAACACATCAGATTGGATCTCTACCCAAAATACCCACCTCTGGACAAGACAAATGAAGGCCAGAGGGCAACCCATCCCACCCCAGCCAACTACAAAGCTGCTGAAGAGCAAATACTCAAGGATTTCACCTTACTCACTTACAGCCGACTCGCGCTGTATGAACGTCCCCCAAAAGACACCCCAACAATAAAACAGGAGGAATCTCAGGTCCCAGTCCAGAATTTTGTGGTTACAAATGAACTAAGCGAGCCGGACAAACCCAAAAAGCCCAAATGTATCTTCATTGCTTATGTTCAGTTCACACCGTCTGAGGAGCTCACTGAAGAGGACAAGTACAACCTCAACTCTCTAACCACATTCCTACATAACTCTCAAAACTTTTTAAATCCTGTCAACCTCCTTCGCAAAATCTTTTGTTGCCGGATGTGGACGATTGGCTGGTGCAAGTCCCAAACTACTGGTGAAGTGGCTGGAAGATATGTCAATACATTAGGCATCAACAAAAATCCCCTTTCAGATCTAGATAATCTTATTAACGGAATTTCTGCAAGTGATTTAATACACAAGCTGTTTTATTCCATCTCAGATGCCGCTGTGGATGCAGCAAATGCGCTACTTACATGCTTGGGCCTTCCAGGCTACTGTGATCCCAACTTGAAGAGATCAACATCTAATTGCTTTGCCTCCAACCTGGCTTTTACTCGATATGCATTTTCCAACCAACCCCACTGCAATGACAATAAGACAAAAATGGTGTAAGACTCCTGGGACGGATAGACACGGTAAAGTATATGTATATCAAAAGATCCCTTGAGGGGGAAATAAATTGCAAATAGGTTGAAAGGCTATTACAACTTACGGGTGGTTTGAAAGACCTGCCCCTCTAAATGTACTAAACAGATAACTAAGAGTCTTGTAATCAATATTTAATAATGTATGGCTGATTCCAAGATAGATCTTACTTTTGTAAAGTAATCTCTATCAGACCTAGATCACGTATCAATCTACTAATGAATCTGTTACAACTTCAGGTTAATAATGGAAACTGTGGTGCTGATGACTTGAGCACGAAACAGATGAGTTGTTATAGAGTTTTTTAATGATCTCTTCCTCAAACAATTTCTTGCTAAGGCACTTTAATCAAAAACTAGAGCTCCGGTACTAATACTACTACTACTTGTTATTGGTTAATTGTTAATGTACTACTACTTATATGATGGTTGAGACATGTTCTCCCAATCCACTCATTGTATGTAATCCTGTCCATATATACCATACCTCATCCATAATGATTGCTCCTTCTCTTGTAATGATTGTCACATGTATGTACCTGTTGAAATTTCGCTCATCTCTCTCTTCTTTCCTGTCATTCACCTGTCACTCACTTATTCACCGATCATTGTTTTTTATGCTATGTGTTCTGAGACCCACAACTTGAACCTCTTGTAGTTACTATACTTAAGTCCTATTAACTGCAGCTTAAAAATAAAATCTTATCGGTTCTTTATTCTTTTCTGAGCCTTTCCTGAAGAACACTTTTAGCACTTCTTCTGTATTAGTTGTGAAGCACTTGAGCCCTTCCTACTTGAATCAAAAAGTATTATTTTTTTCCGGCCTTTTCGCCAAAAATTTAACACGATTAACAGTCGAAAACCGACTTCAATCTGTGAACTGCTCTCTCAATAAATCCCTCCATAACAACCAACTCTCCACGACTACAACAATCAGCTCAACCTTCCCTTCACTCAAGATCCCATCTCGCTAGATCCCATAATGACTACCGAAGTCGTTCGCAAATCCAAAATCCTCCTCTCCAACGAAAACTACACTCTCTGGCTTCTTCCCATGGAAGCTAAACTCTACAAACTTAAGACCCTCAACATTGTCACTGGCGCTGCTACCTGTCCCGACCCCAAAAAAGACAAAGACAACTTCAAACTATACAACAAACTCAACAAAGACGCCTACACTGAGATTGTTCAATATCTCAATCAAGAAGTTCTAGCGTATGTCAGCTCGGCACTCCCGACCACCGATAAATTCAACGGATACAAGCTCTGGCAGCTTCTCAAGGCCAATTTTGCTGGCAATGACCTCACCTCCAAAACTACAGCCCTAAAGAAATTTCTTGCTGTTGATTACGACTCGTTCTCGTCGTTTTTGCCACTTATCCGATCTGCAAATCAGAAGATCATCCTCTCGTGCCTTGCACTCGAAGACCAAGTTAAAACGATCTTGATGCTCGATAAACTTCCTCAAGAATTTCACTCATTTAAAACTAATATATCAATTAACTTTGAAACCTTACCGTTTGACGATGTACTGAAGAAACTTGAAGACTTCGCTGCCCAAAATCAACTAAACAATGTGGTAACCCATACCTTTCCATATCATCTATTATTTTACTGTACATTCACTGGGAATTGTTATAATATTACTACAGAATCAGATTCTACACCCCTTTTTACCTATAGTCACTCAATCAAGTCATATCTCATTTCTTACTGGTTCATTAGTTAATTGCAGTTTTAGTTTTACAGATATTATTCTTTACATTTACATTACACATTAACTACATACAGTACATATTTACAGTTTATCACATACATCATATTTTTCTCAAGTATTATCTTCTTACATATATCTCTTCACATTACATCAGCCACACTCCTTTACAAGTACTTCTTTTCACATTACATACTACATATATTTTCTCAGACACACTCCTTACAACTATGCTTTCTCATATGCCTTCAGGATAACAGTAGTACACTCTTTCACAGTCTTTATCTTTTGGGATTGTTTTTCTTTACTCATCCTCCCTTTTGATTGTTTACTTTTCACATCTCTTGTTCTACATTTGTACATTGTGCTCCCATAGCCAGACTGACTGTAACCTGTGCTCATTTGTACCTTGAAGTATATATACAGTCTTCTTATCATTTTTGTACCCCCTTATGCAATTTCTCCCCTACAGATATTATTGTGCCCCTCAGATAAAATCTATTTTTACTTTCAGAACTCACTTTAGTGACCTTGCCCTGTTTAGGTGCTTGCCCCAGAAATACCTTTACACTCAGTGTCCTCAGAGCTCTGCTTTATTTACCACCCTCATAGTCTCACTTCTTCCCCTGTAGGTTGATAAGGAACAATCTCATCAGTTATAGCAGTCTAAGAAATAGATAGAAATTAGCCACACCTCTTCTTTATTTTCTTAGTGTAACCCTCTCTCCTCAACATTAGTCTCAGAGGGCAGCCTCATCAGCACTCATAGCTTAACTTACAATACTAGTAGTGTAGTTTGCTATTCCCCTCTAAAGCTCTGTTCTGGTTGTTCAGAAGTTCCACAAGTGGTGTCCCAACAGTGGCCTGATTTCCTTTAGATTTAGTCCTAGTTACCTATAACTATCAGTTTGCAGTACTTTTCACTTACCTCCCTCACCCATCCCATTCCTCTTGAAGTACATTTCTAGTTCTTTTAAACCATTAAATTCACAAAACATATCAGCTTTCCCTCCTTGCTATTATTTTTTTTCTTTTCCACCTTGGCAATAAACCTTTAGTAATTACACTTCTCTAGAATCTTCTTTTACAACCTTTTTTTTCTTCACCTACTTTTACTATGTCCAACCCTCCTCAACTCTCACCCTTGGACCTTTCCAACTTGGAGCACCTTGCCAGCACCTACCTTGGACAGACTGCCACCAGAAACCCTTGGCAACCCACTAACCCTGAGACTGGAGCAGCAAATCCTGGAACCTCTAATGCTTTCAACCAATACAGGGACAATCAGCCTCAGTCCTCTGGAAATTCAGACCTCCTTGGACTACAACCCAATTCTCCCAACCCCTCAATCAGATCTGCTCATACTCATAGGACTCACTTCTTGGAAAAGGAACCAACTATGCCTGCCTATGCTGGACCCAGAGGCAAGAGTGTCAAGATTAAACCCATGGATAAAGACCTTTTGTTTGATGGAACTAATCTACCTATTGAGAAATTTATCAGAAGATATGAGAATGCAGGGTCAGCGGATGGTGCTTCTTCTAGGGATTTGGCCAAACAGGTCCTCTCATTCATCAAAGGACCAGACCTCAAGGATGAAGTAGAAGAAATGACTGGACATGAAGCTGCTGACTGGGAACTTTTGAAGAAACAGTTACTCAACAGGTTTGGGACCTCTGTTCCTTTGGTCAAATACTCCAAGCAGGATCTCAAGAGACTGGTCCACCAAGCTATCCAGTCTGGAGGAATCAAGACCCTGGAGGAATTCAAAGTTTTCAGATCCAAATATGAAGTCATCACCAATTACCTCTTCACCATGGGCCATATCTCTCACTTGGAGGAATCTAGGGAATACTTGTTGGACTCACTCAGCCCTGATTTGGAAACTTCAGTCACCAAGGAACTCATCAGCAAGAATGAAATGTTGGCCTCCAGGGATGGTGGGGATATACTTCCAAGCTCCAAGGTTTTAATCACCTACATCCTCAGAGAAGTTCAGTCAGCATCTTTCATGGCCAGAAGAAACCTCTTCAAGATGGAACCCACCAAGGACAACTCTTTTTCCAACTCCACTAAGGCTCCTAGAAATCCCAAGCCTTCTGTCCCTTCTACAAGCAAGTCAACAGACCAGAAATTGGATGAGCTCACTAGGCAAATGGCAGCTTTCACTTCTGGAAAAATGGTCCCCCCTCACCTTTCTGGCACCTCTTCCCAGCAGAATATCCCAGCGCCTAGGAACCCAGACTTCAAGTGTTACTATTGCTTTCAACCTGCCCACAGTACCATGAAATGCAGTCTTCTCAGCTATGATGAATCCCAAGGCCTAGTCATCAGGGAAGGAAAGACTTACAAGCTTCCTGACAATACCACCATCCCCTGGGATACCTCTAGACCAATCAAGCAGATAGTGGATCAGTACTCAAAGGAACCCTCTGGCATCATTTCTTCATTTGGACAACTAGAAGAACTCACTGAAATTCATCCTTCTGTTTATGATGTGGACTTGGGAAAAAGGACCAGATCTTCCAAGGACCAAGATGAGGAGGAGCCAGCCACAGAGAAGAGAAGCAGGAAGAAGAAAGACACTCTTATGGATATGGACCAGGATGACTTACTTAAAATGGCCACTCCCCCTTCCAAGCCTTCTCAGAAACCCAGTCCTCCTGTTCAACCCAAGCCCAGCACCTCTACTCAGACCAAACAAAACTCTGCCCAATCCAAAGTCAGGTTTCAAAACACTGAAGATCCAGAACCCAGCAGTCCCAAAGAGAAGCCTACCAAGAAGACCTATTTGGAAAAAGCTTTGTCAAAGGAATACCCCCAGGTGGATGAGGCAACTGCCAGCAGATTTCTTAAGGAGACCAAGATAGAGCTTAGCTGTGGAGAACTTTTTGCCCTGGCCCCTGGATTTTCTGAGGTTGTTAAAAGAAAAATTTCCAACAGAAGAGTGCCCATTGAACCCAACACCTCTTCCAGCCATGCATCCTTGGAGGACCTTGCTTCTTCCAACCATGGAGCCCTGGATACTGATGAAGAAGAAGACAGGGATTCAACCACTCATTACTCTTGCCCCCTTGGCTACATCAGACTTGGAATAAATGGTACAACTCACCAAGCTCTTTTGGACACTGGCTCCATGGTCAACCTTATTCCTGAAGAAATAGCTCAACAACTTGGACTAGTCATCACAGAAAGAGAGATGAAGCTCAGAGGGATTGGAGGCCACCACACTACCATCCTGGGAATTGCTGAAGGAGTTGAAGTTCAAATTGGAAAGGTCACCAGGGCAGTTCACTTCTGGGTTGCCAAAGGAGGAAGTGTGCAATTCATCTTGGGGAAACCCTTCTTAATGGATGTATCTGCTCAAATCAAATACAATGGACCCAAAGGAGAATCACTTTCAGTCTTGGACAACAAAGGAAATGCCTACTTAATTGCAATTTGCTGGCCCAACCACCACAAATGGGAAACCTCCCTTCCTTCTTTCTTGGTCACCAGGGATTTTTTGGACCAGAGGCAGGATTTCAGATCTACCAAGTAGAGTATCTGGACCTGTCACAACCACCCAAACAACCAGAATTAGTCACCTATGCCACAAAATACAAATCAACTCTAAAAAAAATCAAACCTGTAAATCAACCTATGCCCCTTTCTCTCAACCCTCCTCTTTCAAGACCAGCACTCTCTAGAGACCCCTATGCAACCCCTTTAACTCCCTTCCCACCTTCATTTCAACCCACCTCCAAAGTTACACAAGAAAGACTGGATGTTATCAATTTTGGCCCCCCTGGATGGCTGTCAAATGAAGAATACAATTTATTAGTCTGGGTCATCACCCTCAGGCAGGGAGCCTTGGCCTTTGTGGAACAAGAAAGAGGACTACTCAAACACACCTATGGACAACCTTACATCATTCCTGTCATTCCTCATGAGCCCTGGCAACAAAAACCAATTAATATTCCAGCTCCAATCAGGCCTCAATTCATTGAACTGGTAAGGGAAAGACTCAAGACTGGCCTTTATGAACAATCCTTTTCCAGTTACTCCAGCCCTGTCTTCTGTGTAAAAAAGCAAGATGGTAAATTAAGAATTGTTCATGACCTTCAACAACTCAACAAAGTCACCATTAAGGATGCAGGTCTTCCACCTTCACCAGAGGAATTAGTGTAGTCATTTACTGGACGTGCTTGCTATGGACTTGGGGACATTATGGGAGGCTATGATGAAAGAGAATTAGCACCAGAATCCAGACCATTAACAACCTTTGAAACTCCACTTGGCAGGTTCCAACTCACCAGACTTCCTCAAGGTGCCACCAACTCAGTTGCAGTCTACCAGGCCCAGATGACTTGGATTCTTCAAGATGAATTGCCAGAAAACATGGGAATTTTCATTGATGATGGAGGAATCAAAGGACCAACTTCTGACTACAATGGAGAAACCCTGGAGGCCAACCCAAAAATTAGAAGATTTATTTATGAATATGCCATCACTTTGGAGAGGATACTTTTCAGAATTGAGGAAGCTGGACTCACCATTTCTGGCAAGAAATTTGCTTGCTGTGTCCCTGCTCTGGATCTTGTTGGCCATGTTGTCTGCAAGGAAGGAAGAAGAATCTCAGTCAAGAAGCTCAATAAAATTGAATCCTGGCCAATTCCCACCACTCCAACAGCTGTCAGGGGATTCCTTGGAATTTGTGTTTATGTCAGAATGTTCATCAAAGATTACTCCACCATCACTGCACCTCTCAGAAAACTCACCAGGAAGGACTCCACCTGGGATTGGACTGATGAATGCCAGGATGCCTTTGAAGAACTGAAGAAAATCATTGGGACTGACATCACCCTCAAGAAATTGGACTATGGACCTGGAGCTGGCCTCATCAAGCTTTCTGTGGATTCCAGTTACATTGCTGCTGGAGCAGTTCTTACTCAGGAAGATTCAGCTGGACTGGACAGACCTGTTATTTATGAGTCAGTAGTCTTTTCAAAAAGAGAATCTGAATACTCACAATCCAAACTTGAGCTCTGTGGAGTCACCAAAATCCTCAAGAAACTTCAAACCAAACTTTGGGGCCAACATTTTCAGCTCAGAGTGGATGCCAAGTGCCTTATTGGAATGATCAACAACCCCTCACTTCCCAATGCCCCTATGAACAGATGGATAGCCTTTATTCAGCTTTTTTCTTTTGATTTGGTACATACTCCAGGTAAAACTTTCACCATGCCAGATGGACTTTCCAGGAGGCCCCCAGATCCAGATGAAGAAGATTGTCCTAGTTTTGATGAAGATGAACAATGGATGAAGCCACACCCTGGATTTGGAGTCAAACAAGCTTTTTCTGGAGTGCTGCTGGGGACATCAGCTCAGTTGGGGGAGGGGGTAACTTCTCTGCAACAAGGAATTTGGAAGCTCTTGGAAGAATACCTTGCAACAATGAACAGACCTCCTGGATGCGGTAACCTGGAATTCAAACAAATTTTGCACAAATCAGCCTCTTTTTTCCTTTCCAATGGAGTCCTCCACAGAATCAACAAACCTTTCTCCCAGATTGTGGTCACTTCCCCCACGGCTCAGAATTCTATCCTTCACTCCCTTCATGAATCCTTAGGCCACAGAGGAATCACTGAAACTTATACCAGAACCAAGCTCAGATTTTGGTGGCCAGGTCTCAAGAAATCAGTCACCAGATGGGTCCAGTCCTGTGAAGCTTGCCAGAAAAGGAGTTCAGTCTTGCCAATGGAGCCAAGGAAGCCTACAGGAAAATCAACAATCTTTGGAAGAGTCAGCCTGGATTCAGTTCACATCAAAGCAGGAAGATGGAAATACCTAGTTCTGGCCAGAGATGACCTCTCAGGATGGGTGGAAGCCATTGGACTAGAAAAACTTCAAGCAAAGAAAATATCAGAATGGTTCCTGGAACATTGGATTCACAGATATGGAGCTCCCTTGGTTGTAGCAGTGGATGGAGGCTCTGAATTCAGCAAGCAATTTCAAAAATCCCTTCAAGATTCTGGAATAAAGGTTAAAGTCACCACACCATACTACCCAGAGGCCAATGGAATGGTTGAGAGAGGACATCAAGCAATCAAAGACACCCTGGTCAAGCTCTGTGGACAGGAAGGCAAGAAATGGAGAAATTATTTACCATTAGTCTTATTTGCTGACAGGATTTCAACCAAAAGATCAACTGGATACTCACCTTATGAACTAGTTTTTGGCCAGCCTCCTATCTTACCAATTGACCTTGAATTGGAGACCTTCTTTGGAGTGGAATGGGATCAAGTGGCAACAACTCAGGACCTTCTCTTGGCCAGGGTAACTCAACTGGAGAACAGGGACTCTGTATTGCAAAAGGCACATCAAAAGCTATTGGAAACTAGAGGTACATCTGTGGACTACTGGAACAACAAGAAGAAGACAAGAAAACCATTGAAAGAAGGTGATTTGGTATTAGTCTACAATAAATCCTTGGACTCCCAGTGGGGCAAATTGTTTGAAAACAAGTGGAATGGCCCTTACAAAGTGAAATCTCAAAACCCAGGTGGATCCTATACTCTGGAGGAACTGGATGGCTCTGAATTGGCCAGAAGGTATGCTGCAAGTCATGTAAAAAAATATTACACAAGAGAATAAAAAAAAAAAAAAAAAAAAAAGATCAGTATATATATAAAAAAAAAAAAAAAAAAAAAAAAAAAAAAAAAAAAACCCCTACATACCTTGGTCTTCTACAAAGGCCTTAATTTCTGACACACACTCCCTCAGTCACTTCACCTGACTGTGCTTTTGACATAAAAAAAAAAAAAAAAAAAAAAAAAAAAAAAAAAATTATTAGTAATAGGCTCTTTCCAAAACATCTCAATTGAAAATTAATTTCTAGTGAAATTTAAACTTCCCCAACCATACAACAATACACAGTTCCGCCAGAGAAAAAATGGCAATTTGGGTGGTGGAAAATTGTTCACTTTCCTGAGCCTTTTTTTACAAAATGCCCCAGGAGTAAAAATCAGGCTAAAATGAGCTATTTTAGCCCAAAAACAAAAATGCCTCAAACTTTCCAAAATTAATTTTTAGCTCATTTGAGGCATTTTTATTTATTGGCTAAAATAGCTCATTTTAGCTTAATTTTTACTCCTGAGTCATTGTGTAAAAAAATGCTCAGGAAAGTGATCTATTTTCCACCAACCAAATTGCCATTTTTTCCTGGGGCAAAATCGGTATTGTTTGTAGTGCAACTGCCTTGTGGAAAACAATCATCTCTTCTTTATCTCTTTTTTTTTCTTCCTTTCCTTTAGCCTGGATGAGGGCCCTTCTAAGTTCCATAGGCGGCCCCAGTTGATGCATATGGAGCTTGGATTTAGAAATTTTGAACCAGAATTAGTAACGGCCGCGATGGATCTTGCGGAAAGGAAAAAGCTTAACTCACGGTTGAAAACAAGTCCTCGACGCGACTGTACAGTCTCAACCTTTGTATTCGATCCGTTTCGTTGGAGTCGCTTACGCTCCTGGCAAAACGAATAAGCTCGTCCGTGACGAGTATTCTAAAATCATGAAGCTCTTCAAGCGAAAAGGAGTCGCGAGTGAAAGCTGGACTGAAGTTGGAGTAATCGGCTGGAAAGGCCGAGGAACGCTTGTCGACAGTGTCGTAGTCGACTGGCGAATAATTTGCGACGGATCCGTAATCGATTGACGAACTTTCGTCGACGGAGTCAGAATCAGATCCAGACCCGGTAATGGTGGCGTCGGATGAGGCGATAGACATCGGACGCGAGAAGGACATGGCTCTGGTGGCTATACTACAGGGTTTAAAGGGAAGCGCTGAGGCTGCGATAGAAGACGGGCAGGCTAGATGGTGTAGCTCGATGGCTGCGATATAGAACGGGAAGTCAGAGGATTTGGAACAACCTTGCTCTCAGGTCGAAAGCTACATCCTTTTATGCCCAACGGCGCAGAACGTCTCTTCAGGATCAAGTTTAGGTGATTGAGGCTATTCCCCAAGGATCAGTAACCGATCGATTCATGGCCGCTCCCTCCTGAAATTACGCCGAGGTTTTTATTTTTATTGTAGCCTTACAATCGACAGCTTCTCGATTAATACTGTCTTGATCCGTTTTAGTGGTACAAGATCGAACGCAAGCATTCCGTTGGATGACAAGACCTCACACGTGGACAGCGGCTTTCAAAGCTTCAACTCATACCTTTGACGATGCTGGTGCGCAAACCGGGCAGTGTTTAATTTTTTATCATCATTCGCTTTTCGACGCCGGTGCGCGACCCGGACCATTTTCATCAAGCCGTGCTTACATCTCTCTCGATTCCGGTGCTCGATCCGGGCGGTGCTGTCTTAGCTTCGTTCTTTTTTTTTTTTTTTAATTTTCGATGCCGGTGCGCGATCCGGGCTGTGTTCATTTCCTTGTCATCCTACTCTTTTCGATGTCGGTGCGTGAACCGGGCAGTGTTTAATTTCCCCTTATCAGGAAATTTTCGATTCCGGTGTGCGATCCGGACTGCTTTCACACTTCTTCTATCATTAAATCATTTTCGACTCCGGGGTACGAACCGGGCCTTTGTCCTTACGATCATTTCCAATCTATTTTCGTTTTCGATGCCGGTGCTCGATCCGGGCTATGTTTTATATTTTCTTTCTTTTTCTTAATGTTGACTCTGGTGTTCGACCCAGTTCCGATGCCTTCTCTTTCATTCTATGACATCACTGCACCTTCGACATCGGTCTTTCGTCTTCGCCGAGGGTCGTGCGCTGTTTCCTTTGCTTTCTTTCCTTAAGTCTGGCCCTCTTGGGGACTGTTTTTCACCGGACACCTTCTCTTTTAGGCTTTTCCCTTTCTGGAATTCCTGGACCTATTTTCCTCAATTTGGCCAGTAATGAAATCAATCTTTTTTTCAAGAATCTATTTAATCAACTCAACCTTCGTGGAAAATGAAAAAAGGACCGAAGGGGACCCATGAAAACCCAGAAATTGGAGTACAACCAACCAGAGCTCACCATCCTCCCAGTACCCCACCATTCACGAATCACCTGAACTTCACCCCCCCACCTGGATTTTTGTTCCTGCCACCATGGAGAAAATTCCCCCTCCTACCTTGTAAATACTTTTTATCCACCATCAGGACATCTGATTACCTTTATGAATTTTCAGCTATAATATCCATCTTTGTTGGTTACACCCCCTTTTCTATATTACATCCATCATTTTTGAAGTAGTTCTTTCAGAAAAACCCTCCTTATTTTTTTACTCCTGTGTGTTATCTTCCTCAAAACTTCTTCAGATTGTGGTATATGTATTAGTGCATCCCAGCCTTGAAATAATTAGTTTGAACCCCAGCTTTACTCAGATTTTTTTTAGTCAGATTGAATAGAAGATACTTTACATAGTTTATTTTACTGGGTATATTTAGTTTACATACTATTATAAACCTTTTTACTTCCCTGGACCTCTTTTCTGGACTTTGGATTTTGGTTTCTTTCCACCTTGGCATCTCAGATTTTTTTCTCTTGGACTTTGGATTCAGACTCTTTTGGACCTTGGAATTCAGAATTTTCTTTATCAACTTTACCTGCCTTTCAACTCAGGTCTTACTTCTGGATTGGTCTTCTTGGATGGATCAGACACTCCTCCTGGAATTGGATCAACTTCAGAAGTCTTTACCTACTTTGGCCTTCTTGTTGGAACCAGATACTCCAGCTTGAAGATGATCAACTTAGGTCTTACTCTTGATATTGGCCTTCTTGGATGGAACAGATACTCCCCCTTGAAGTGGTTCAATTATCATTAGTCTTTTTTTTCTCTTACTGGCCTTAGGACTATTTTGGACTATTGGACTCAGTCTTTCCCCTTGGATTTTCTTTGGTCACCTGGCTTTGGCTTTCTTAGATGGAACTTCAACCTCAGGACTCTTGGACTTGGCCTCATTGAAAGGATAACAGAATTCCTCCATTGGGTGGCCCATTTTTTAAGAATTTTCTTTAGATACCTGGACATTGGCTTTCTTGGATTGGTTCAACCCTGGAATCTGGACTTGGCCTCTTGGAAGTGGTTCAACTTTGTTTTATTTGGATTTGGCCTCTTTGGATTGGAACAGATACTCCTTCCTTAGGGTGATTCACTTTTGGATACTATGGACTTGGCCTTCTTGGAGTGGATCAATGTCTGGATTATATTTTGGCCTCTTGGATTGGATCAACTACAGTACCTTGGATTTGGCCCTTCTTTTTTTGTGTACAGATTTCCTCCTTGGTCTTATTTTTTTTGGATACAGGATTTGGCCTTCTTGGATGGAACAGATACTCCTCCTGGAAGTGGATCAACCCTGAACCCTGGATTTGGCTCCTCTTGGATGGACCCTTTTTTCTGGATTCCTTGCCACTCTTACTAGTTACTTTTTTTCCTTACCTTTTTCTATATATCTTTTTTTTAGTCTTCTATTTTCATACTGGCTGCATTGTCTGGGGACAGACAATAAGTTGGGGGAGGATGTGGTAACCCATACCTTTCCATATCATCTATTATTTTACTGTACATTCACTGGGAATTGTTATAATATTACTACAGAATCAGATTCTACACCCCTTTTTACCTATAGTCACTCACTCAAGTCATATCTCATTTCTTACTGGTTCATTAGTTAATTGCAGTTTTAGTTTTACAGATATTATTCTTTACATTTACATTACACATTAACTACATACAGTACATATTTACAGTTTATCACATACATCATATTTTTCTCAAGTATTATCTTCTTACATATATCTCTTCACATTACATCAGCCACACTCCTTTACAAGTACTTCTTTTCACATTACATACTACATATATTTTCTCAGACACACTCCTTACAACTATGCTTTCTCATATGCCTTCAGGATAACAGTAGTACACTCTTTCACAGTCTTTATCTTTTGGGATTGTTTTTCTTTACTCATCCTCCCTTTTGATTGTTTACTTTTCACATCTCTTGTTCTACATTTGTACATTGTGCTCCCATAGCCAGACTGACTGTAACCTGTGCTCATTTGTACCTTGAAGTATATATACAGTCTTCTTATCATTTTTGTACCCCCTTATGCAATTTCTCCCCTACAGATATTATTGTGCCCCTCAGATAAAATCTATTTTTACTTTCAGAACTCACTTTAGTGACCTTGCCCTGTTTAGGTGCTTGCCCCAGAAATACCTTTACACTCAGTGTCCTCAGAGCTCTGCTTTATTTACCACCCTCATAGTCTCACTTCTTCCCCTGTAGGTTGATAAGGAACAATCTCATCAGTTATAGCAGTCTAAGAAATAGATAGAAATTAGCCACACCTCTTCTTTATTTTCTTAGTGTAACCCTCTCTCCTCAACATTAGTCTCAGAGGGCAGCCTCATCAGCACTCATAGCTTAACTTACAATACTAGTAGTGTAGTTTGCTATTCCCCTCTAAAGCTCTGTTCTGGTTGTTCAGAAGTTCCACAACGATAGCATTAAATCATCAACCACATCTGAAGCAACTATGTACACCAAATCTTCCGACCCTGAGATCGTGTGTCCTCACTGCAAACGTGGATTTCGTTCCTGTTCCCACTGTCTCAAGAGCGGCCATTCTGAAGCAAACTGTTTTGTCAAGTATCCCGACAAACGCAAACCTAACTCAGTCACGACCTCAGCCAAACAACACTCTACACACTTCACTTGTTACACTCAAGAAGATGAAGATTACCTCAAACAAAAATACCCCGACCTCCATCTTTAACCGATCGATTGCGAGCTCAGGAGGGGTGTTGAAATTTCGCTCATCTCTCTCTTCTTTCCTGTCATTCACCTGTCACTCACTTATTCACCTATCATTGTTTTTTTTATGCTATGTGTTCTGAGACCCACAACTTGAACCTCTTGTAGTTACTATACTTAAGTCCTATTAACTGCAGCTTAAAAATAAAATCTTATTGGTTCTTTATTCTTTTCTGAGCCTTTCCTGAAGAAGCACTTTTAGCCCTTCTTCTGTCTTAGTTGTGAAGCACTTGAGCCCTTCCTACTTGAATCAAAAAGTATTATTTTTTTCTGGCCTTTTCGCCAAAAATTTAACAGTACCTATGCTATCCCAACACCTCTGCTGTATGCTTTTGGCATTGGAACAGGCACAGCACACCACAACAGCCTTCTTGTTACTTGCAAATGTCAACAACACACAATGGTTCGATAGCCCTCACTAGTCATCAAGATCCTACCTTCACCGGACCTTTTTTTGTTTTTCCTCATCACAGAGTGGCCATTGACTTACGTAAATTGAATGGCATCTGCCAGGTGGTATTTGATGCTGGTAAATTTGAACATTGTACTCAGATGCTGGTAAATTTGAACATTGTACTCACAATGCTCAACCAACTCATCCAACCCTCACTTCCTTTGTCTTCTCTCTTCAAATCTCCAAAAAATGTGTTGATGCATTTCAACACATATTTAGTGGATTTTATAACAACAAAAAAACCAAGGATGGTACAGATTATTACATTGGTGATCACAATCACATCTACAACAAAGTCTACAAGCTAATCAAAAATGTGTTGAGAATTGTTTGTTACTGCAATTTATCATATCACTCCTCATGATTTGCCCAGTTGTTTTATCATCTTAGAGATAGAAACCATAAATGCCAAATAGGATTTCTAAATTCTTTCACTATGTCGTGATACTAATCTTATTGAAACTATCTATCTGTCTCCTGTTCTATTATTATCAATACAGAGGACAGCAGTTTGTTCGTAGGAATCAAAAGAA